GTGCGTGCGTGCGTGCGCGCGTGCGTGCGTGCGTGTGTATGTGTGTGTCGTGCGTGTGCGTGTGTGTTAAAATAATTCTTTCAAATAAAAATGTTACCCACTTTTCCTAATTATATCGATTATATTATATTACTTTTAAATTATTTTTTTAAATCCTAAGTTTTTAACAAGATTAATTCAAAAATATATAGAGAAAAATATTAAGATAGAAAGATAGAAAGAGTGAGAAAATTGAAATAATACAGTGGAGAGGTAAGAAAAATAGATAGGAGCATGGGATAGAGATGTGAGAGGGGTACAGAAGAAGGAGAGAAATTTACAAAAAGTAGAAAAATGAGAATGAAAAAAGGAATGAGAGGTGTAGTCTTAGCCGGCTAGCCTCCAAGTTCGGGAGCCGGATGATATCAACAGCTAGGTCAATTCAGCATCCAACGCATGCAATTCCAAACCTATTCGTACTTATGTTCGTTCTTAAATACATTCACCCCTATTTACCACTCATTCAATTAGGGTGGGGGGGTATTCAATTAGATTTACTCCATCACCCTCTACACTAATATAACTAACCTAATAATATCAAATTTATTATTTTCTTGTTGGTTTGAAAAAAATTATTTTTGTTATTATTATAATTTTATTTCTCATTAATTTCTAAAATCAAAATGAAATAAACTTTTTTTGTAAATGCGTGGTGATTAGTGACCGTTAATCGATGATTATTCAGAAATCATGAGACCAGACCGTATCTCACGGCTTTTTTAAAAATGAAAATCAAGACTAAATCAATAAGTGGTCACTATGAAATAAATTTAAGAGTGACATGTATATATCAAAATTCAATTATAAACTAAAATGTTTATAAGTACTTAATGATTGTTTGGAGGTCTGGACAGACCGCATCTCACGACCTCCAAATAATCATTAACTAACGATCACTAAACACCACACAGTACTTAAAATGTTAAGGTTGCTGAAGAAGTTAATATAGGAGAAAATATGATCCTTGGCTTAATATCATAATAGTATCTAATTCAGGTAAACAATTTGAAGGAGCAGATGAGCAGATCGAGAGCCTAAGGAAAATTAAAAATGTAGTGCTACAGTAAGAGAATAAAGGATTTATTAGGGATTTGATAAGGAGAAATCTAGTTTTCTGTGGAGTGAAAAAACTAAGGCATCGAAGATAATAGAAGCTTTAGTAGATCTTTTTAAAACAGAGCTTACATGGTTATGCCATGTAAGTTTGGAGTTAAAAATAACGCTGAGATTTTTAACTCCAGGACGAAAATTAATAGGGGAGCTGTTGATATGAGGGATAAGCAATGTGTATTAATGGGTTTTTAGGAAATTAATAAGGACTGGGATTTGTTAGAGTTTAAAAGAAAGCCGTTATTTTTTAACCATTGATTGAATGAACATTCAGTTGAGCAGAGATATAGTTTCAGATATGTACGACATTGGATGGTCATAGCATAAAGATGAACTTGGGAGAAATTACGAATTAATGGAAGATCATTAGAAACATGGAAAGAGGTAAAGTCCAAGAATAGAGCCTTGGGTACACCAGCTGACATTGAGAGAGAAGAGGAGAACATGAGCTCTTAGTTTTGTCAGACAGATAGGAGGAGATGAGATTAGTAGCAGTAGAAGAAAACTACTTCTTTTTTGAGTAGAGAAAACCGCCATCAACCCAAGTCACATACACAGCTTGAGGGGCAATGGGGTTGCTATTCCACCATCAGTCCCTCCCCATCACTCTCATAAATACACTCACTCATACAAAACACAGAAACACAAAACACATATTTTGAAGGCTATATACAATAAAAAATTCCGAATTCCCCTAAAAAGCAGAACAGAGGACCTTGAAACTCGTTACCATATTCGAGAACTCTTCTTAGATCTGGCGACATGCCTGCATGCTCTCTGTATGGAGCAAAGGCATGACACGCCTCTATTATGTGGGACACATCGAGTAACCTTTCTCTGCATAAGGGGCACCTGCTCAGGCTTTGGCCTAAAAGCAGGTGCCCGTGTGTCAACCACGTATGGCCAATCCTCAGACGGGTGAGGATGATCCCCGTCTCCTGCTCAGGTTCTCTGAGGGCCATCTACCAGTCGTGCTCTTGATTCGCAAGAGCCTCTCCGACGACCCTGCCCACTGACGCTGCCATCTTCCTTTTATCATATTTTTTACTGCGTGTTTAGCGTCAGGGGGCCTGATCACGATGGTCCGATCCGGAGGGTTTCGCCGCCTCGTCCGCACGTTCATTACCCTCCAGGCCGGTGTCCGGGAATCCAGACAACAACCACCAGAATCTATCCTATTGCCAACCAAAGCTTTAATATATCCTTTTAAAATACTTAATTTGAAAGGCAAAATTGAAATGTAAAACATTAATTAAAAATAAATAATAATAGTGGAGTCAGACTAGCCAAAAGTCTCAATGTGATGTGTTTTAAAAGAAATTTAAAACATTTTTTAACTATATATTAAAAATTCATTTAAAAAATCGTATAAATATATGGAATAATGGAATCAAATTGAATTACCTGATTAGTTTTGTATGGCTTTGTGCAATTTGTTCAATATGGAAACCCTAACAGAACAACTATCTAAAAACCTCTACATAGAAAGTTTTTGTTATAGTTATAACTTATATTTGTTGAAACATTAATATAAAGTTGATTGTTTAATGGTTTTATTTTTAAATTAAAAAAAATTAAATTATAAAATTTATTACTATTTTTTAATTATATTTTTGAATTTTTGTTCCATAGTTTAAACATTTCCTGTAGGCTTGTATGGCAAAAAATAATAATAATGGAGTCAGTCTAGCCAAAAGTATCAATGTGATGTTTTTTAAAAGAAATTTAAAACATTTTTTAACTATATATTAATGATCAACAGGCAAAGAACGCTGCAAACCATCCCCAAAGAACAGATAATTTCCTCTCCGCCCAGATGATATAGTTGTTTATGTTAAAAACATTATCAAACGAAAGTGGGCAGCAAGATGGAATGTCTGTAGTGATAGTATGAAAGAAATTAAGCCAGTTGTCCATAAATGGCCAACTGAGGAACTTGAGAGAAAAGAACTTATGATTCTCTCTAGATTGCGAATAGGTCACATCAGGCTAATCCATAATAGGCTTTTAATAGGCAACAACCTTCCAACTTATCCTCGATGTATACAAAGTGGAGTACGTATCATTCTGACAGTAAAACATATTTTGGACGACTGTCCCACTTTGCAACCCTTTAGGCAAAGGCTCAACCTTTCAAGTGATTTACAGGAGTTATTGGGTCCCCAGTGTTTCTTTCAAAGAGCACTTTTCAGTTTTTTTCCCAAATTGTTATACCATTCAACGTTTGCCTGCTAAAATGATAAGGATCAGCCTATACTCATGCTGAGACTGTTGCTAGTCTGACTCCATTATTATTATTAGCCATACAAGCCTACGGGGAATTTTTAAATTATGGAACAAAAATTCACAATTCTAATTAAAAAAGAAACAGAAATAAATTTTATAATTTGATTAAATTTTATGCAATTTAAAATGGGAATTTTGTACAAGCCTATGGGAAATGTTTAAATTATGGAACAAAAATTCAGAATTCTAATTTTTTTTAAAAATGGGATTTTTGCATGCATTTACCTTTCCAAATTAAGAATTTTAAAAGGATAAATTAAAGCTTGGATGGCAATAGGATAAATGAGTTTACGAGTGAATGTTTGGAGTCAGAGCTTTATAGCACTCAGAAGGGATATAGCTAAACTAAGATAGAAGGTTTGGGATGTTAGAGCGTGAAATGACCTTAGCCGTTAAAACGTCCTTAAAAATAATAATAATAATAATTTTAGGCAAAGGCTCAACCTTTCGAGTGATTTACAGGAGTTACTGGGTCCCCAGTGTTTCTTTCGAAGAGCACTTTTCAGCTTTCTCAATTTTATTGGAATTTATAATGAGATTTAGGCCTTTTCCCAAATTGTTATATGATTGAATGCCTGATAATGTTTGAATAAAAGTTGTGCGTGCAAGATTTCTTTTTTCAGAAGTTTTTGAGGCTGCCGGAGCGGAAAAATGAAATGGAAGAAAATACAAATTGCGGGGAAATAAACTGCAAAATGGGAATTTTGATTACATTTGGCCTTCCGAATTAAGAATTTGGCAATAGGATAAATTAGATTACGAGTGAATGTTTGGAGTCAGAGCTTTATAGCACTCAGAAGAGATATAGCTAACCTAAGATAGAAGGTTTAGATGTTAGGGCGTGAAATGACCTTAGCCGTTAAAACGCCCTTAAAAATTAATAATAATAATAATTACTATAAAAATTCATTTGAAAAATCGTATAAATATATTGAATAATGGAATCAAATTGAATTACCTGATTAGTTTTGTACGGTTATGTGCAATTTGTTCAACATGGAAACCCTACAGAACAACTATCTAAAAATCTCTACATAGAAAGTTTTCGTTATAGTATTTTCATTGATACATTAATGAACGTTGATTGTTTAATGGTTTTATTTTAAATTTTAAAAATAAATTATAAAATTTATTACTATTCTTTAAGTAAAATTTTGAATTTTTGTTCCATAGTTTAAACATTTCCTGTAGGCTTGTATGGCAAAAAATAATAATAATATTGGAGTCAGTCTAGCCAAAAGTATCAATGTGATGTTTTTTAAAAGAAATTTAAAACATTTTTTAACTATATATTAAAAATTCATTTAAAAATTATTAATTGAATAATGGAATCAAATTGAATTACCTGATTCGTTTTGTAAGGTTATGTGCAACATTTGTTCAACATGGAAACCCTACAGAACTATCTAAAAACCTCTACACAGAAAGTTTTCGTTATAGTTATATTTGTTGAAACATTAATGTAAAGTTGATTGTTTAATGGTTTCATTTTTAAATACTTGCTTGTTTTAAAGGCGAAAATGTGCGAGTTGCGAAATTTTAAAAAGTCAACTCCCCTCTTCAACGGTCATGCGCTTTCAAGGGTCGAACTGAAACCGTCACAACGAAGGTTTCCACTTTTCCAGTCGGGTTTTAATTTTTTATTATTCCACTCGGACTGTTCATTGTCCATTTTGTAATATCGTTTCTCGGAATTGTTTTTCTTCTTTCCATTTTCTTTCCATTTGGCTTGGATTTACACGGACATGTTCCACCCAAACAGCGTCAGGGTTGTGTTGGCCAGGGTGAAGAAAGACAAGGATTTACTAAGGCTCTACCATTCGACGACGTTGAAATGTCTGTCCAACAATGTAAGTCGATTTAGCCACAAAATTTTCATAAAAACAACTCCAAAATTGGTCAAAAAAGATCGAGTCATTATTTCAACTGGTAAGTCATGTACTGGGGGAAGTGATGTTTCAATGCTATATTATATAAAGGCAGAGTGAGGCGTCACTGTATACCAAAGAAAATACATTATGATCTGCCCAATCATGCATGATAGACGTATTCCCAGTGTTTGATTTGATATTTAAACTCTTATGCTGTCGTAATCTTTGCCAAGAGGTGACCTTGTCTTTTCTCAACCAGCAGTGAAGAACCACCCGAACATGTTTAGCTGTGGTTTGCTTATCTATTGGGTTGTCCGGAAAATAATGCAGGATTTTGGTATTAAACAAAAAAAAAGAAACTAGTTACTTTAAAGCAATGTTCTTTAATCAAAATAATTTCCCATNTACAAATGAGTAATCCTGTAAACGTAAACAGAATATTTTATATAGATTTTTTTTAATGAAAACTTAAAATCCTGCATTATTTTCCGGACAACCCAATATAACACACTTTGCTCGAGCCACAGGGTACAAGGCAATTTGAAGCCCATTTGATTTTTCTCCGAGAGTGACTCATGTTGCTTCTACTACACAGGAACTCAGGTGGCAACATTATACTTATCATGTTTGAAGCGTATTTTTCTGATGACTTAATGATCAGTGCTGATTCTGGACATTTCTGTTGCCTGTTAGAAACTATGTATTGATAGATATGTTTATTTCTGCCTCAACTTTATTGACTGGTGGTTCAAGGTCCAGCCAATGGTCAAAATCACGATTAAGGCTTAATTTTCTTCATTGTTTGCATTAATTTCCACTTAGTTTGCAACTACTGCTCTAAACTTGAATGATTGTTGTTTTTGAACAGTGTACAAATAATTTTGAAGCTTAAAACTAATTTTTCAGTAACATCTGAATTGGTCAAGTCATTATTGACTTAGGTTATTCCTGCTGATAGCCAGGAACCATGATTGATAGGTATGTCTAGTTCTGTGTCTATTTTATTACAGACTCCTGATAGTTTAAGTTTGAACATCGTATGAGTCATTTTGAAGCTAATTTTTTGGTATTGTCTGGATTAGTCGAGTCATTATTGACTTAGGTTACACCTACTCATAGTCAGGAACCATGGTTGATGGCTTAAATTTGAACATTGTACAAGTTACTATTGACTTAGGTTGCTCCTATTGAGAGTCAGGAACCACGGCTGAAGGCTTAAATTTGAATATTGTACAAGTCACTATTGACGTAGGTTACTCTTACTGATAGTCAAGAACCATGGTGGATGGCTTAACTTTGAACATTGTACGATGCATTTTGAAGCTTGTAGCCGATGTATCAGCATTGTCTGGATTAATTGAGTCATTATTGACTTAGGTTACACCTACTCATAGTCAGGAACCACGGTTGATGGCTTAAATTTGAACATTGTACAAGTCACTATTGACTTAGGTTACTCTTACTGATAGTCAAGAACCATGGTTGATAGATATGCCTAGCTTTGAGCTAATTTTTTTGAAACACTTGATGGCTTTCGTTTAAACCACATATGAGTCAGTTTGAAGCCTGGAGCTCATTTTTCTGACTGTCTGCATTATATGAGTCAATGTTAACTCAGTATTCTCTTACTCTTCGTGAGGAACCATCTGTTTATGGACTTGTTTAATTCTGTCATAATTTGATTGACCATTAGCTCATGCTCAGGTTGCTGCATAGTACAACTCAGTTTGATGCCTTGGCTACCAAGGAAATTATGTTATTTTTGTTCTTTACCCCCAAGAATATTGCGGTTTTCTTATTAATTTTATCAATTTTTTCATCAATTTATTTAAATTTGTATTTTGTAGCTTCTTAACCAAAAACTGAAATCGAATTCCCAGTGGCGAATACAAGAGAGGTTTTATAAAAACATAAGCCATGGAAAACCTCCTGAAAAACCTTTTTCCAAATTTTGGCATTTATTCCTCGGAACCTTTTTCCTTGGGACGCTAATCGATTGGGATGAGTATGTTCCTAGTTTAATCACTGAAAGCTTTAACAGCGTTCCTAACATTTCTGTTCGTTTAGAGTCAAAGAAGCGATCTTCCCATCAGTCGACGCAGCTGAAATCCAGCACCAGCCGATTCCCAAGGAGATAATCAACACCTCTGAAGAAGAAGGTTCGAAGAAGAAGAAGAAAAAGGACAAAGTCGGTTTTAGAGACCGTAAGGTAATAAAAGGTTTAATTTTTCAAAAATTAAAATGATCATATATCTCCCTTGCAAAAACTTTTATGAAATAATAATTTAGATAATAGAATACGAGAATAGAATGCGGATGTATTCAACACCTGATAAGATTTTCCGCTACTTTGCAACAGTTAAAATAACGACACCTGAATCAGTGGATATATATATGACACCGTATGATTTACTACGATCAATTACGCCTGATATCAAACAGCCAGATGGTAAAGTAAACCAAAATTGAAAAACAAAACAAAAAAATTACTAAACTTTGGTTGTCTTGGAAAATGTAAAAAAAAGGTCTGGTTTCTAATTTGAATGATTTGCATGATTAACCTTCAATCATTGGACAGTTGGGAGATTTTAATTATTTTATTTAGTTGTTTCCTTTTTCTAAATGGAAAATTTGAAAATTCAAAAGAAATATTTGACAGATAATCGAATATGAAAATCGTATGCGCCACTTCTCAACGCCGGATAAAGTGTTTCGGTACTTTGCAACGCTCCAAGTCTCGCATTCGCACGGATCTAGCGAGACGCATGAAGTCTTCATGACGCCGGACGACTTTCTAAGGTCAATGACGCCCGGAATTAAACAGCCAGATGGTAAAAAATCTTAAAAAGAAACAAAAAAAATATATCGATGTTGTGATTCTGTCTATGAACAATTTTATTTACCTCTGTTTCTTATTTCTAAGCTTCATCGCTGTACTCAGTATATTATTTTTTATCTTGTGCTTTATTTGTCAATTATCTTTTAAAAAATTGAAATTTTTTAAATTATTTAATTACTTTTTTAAGGGAAAACAAGGATTTAAATTTTGACTAAGTCCAATTTTGTTTGATTTTGTTATTTTATTTAATCAAGGTAGTCTGGTTTATATTTTATTTTATCAACTTAGTTTTAAATTATCAGCTTTCTTTCTTTTTTCTTTTCCTTTTGCATGTGAGTAACATTTGTCTAATCTAATAATATTTAATGTATTATATTTTATGCATAAAACCGCTTTTTTTTAATATATTCAGTTTGCTGCTTGATATCGCATGTCGTAATTTTTTTTTCTCACCCAATTCCATGCTAAAATGTCTGTTTTTTTAGGCCTGGGATTGGACCAGTACAAGCGATACGATCCGAAGGTAAATTAATTTATCTCAGTTTATAATTTTTTGTTCTATGCGAACCCTTTGTCGTACTTATACAAGAAATGTTAATGAAAACCCACGTAGCCGTCATATTTTGCCTTATTTGTGTAAAATGTGTTTTTATCCCTTCTCAATAATCTGTGTCTGTAATTGTTGTAAATTTTCGAAAATGGCGAGCTAATAAAACGGCCTGTACATACGTCATAAAATTTTATCTCTTAAAGCCTATGGGCCATTTTATTAGATTTTCTTTTTACATATGAGTTAATTTTTAAACACAAAATTTGAAATACAAAGCAAATGTCAGAAATGGCAAACAGTCTTCAGAACTACTTTTTCCACCCGAGCCACCGTGGCTTCAATCCCTGAAACAACCCCACTATCTCAAAACAATTTTTGTCCAATTCCTTTTTGATCTTTCGTGTTTAAAAATTAACTTATAAATAATGTAATGAATGGGACTGAAACCAATAAAAAATAATCCTTAAATTTTTTCTTTTTACCACACCTTTGTGTCTTTGGCACTTTCATGTGTACTCTTCTTTTCTTTTTTGTGTGTACATTTTCTTATAGAAACTCATAATCTCACCTTTTTCTATCGTTGTGATGCAATCTTTTCTTGTCTCTTGTTACAGAACCATGCTGAGGTATTTACTGTTTCTCCATTTTTTTCTCTCTTTCACTTTTTGTTTTGCAAAATAATTTACAAAAGAAAATATTTCACTTGTTTGCCTATATTTTCACTGTCTTTTTCACCCTCTTTCTTCTGGAGTAAAAATAAACAGATTTAGCATGTTTTGGCCTTGCATGACGACCATAAATAGCATAGCTTTAGGACCTTCACTGTACTCTTTCTTTTTTTTCTCTACATAATAAGTAGATAATTTATCAGGAAATTTATATTTAGCATCTAGGTAAATTTTATAGGGTAGATTTGAAACAAATTTGAAAAAATGAAGGTTTTTAATACCATTAAAATATGCAGTTCTCTTCAGAAACACATTGTAAGGTAATGTGCCGAAAATTAGCTATAATTTTTTTTTCACTTTACTTTCAAGTTAGATTATTTATTTTTTAATAATTAAAATTATATTTCACTTTCATTTTTTAGTTCCATTCACACAAGAGCAAGCAAATTGGCTTTTTTTTTATATAATTCAACTGTTTAAGGAAAGAAAGTGATCACCATTTAAAAAAAGCTTTTTTTTGTAATATTTCACCCCATTGTTTTTTTTCTTTTTTTTAAATTGAATTAAGTGTTTATTTAGTACGGTACAATTATGGTGCACTGGAGAATGTTCTGATGTTGGAGCTGGAAACAGTTGAGAAAAACCCATGCCCTGGACAAAAGCAACAAGCATGAGGCTAAGAAATTTTTAAATTTTTATCTTTCAGCAGGGAAGATTTAGGAAAATTATAGGTCTCTATACTGATCAATACTCGTTAAAGAAGATAAGCAAAGCAGCAACAAAAGGGGATTTTCGAGAGTGTCAACAGACCCCCTGAGGTACAAGGAAATAAAGCCAGATCTAAATTAGAGAGGAATCAGCCTCTTCACGATGTGCGCACTGTTAAGGCTAAGAGTTTTTTTTTTTTTACCAGTTCCCAAAGCTTTTTTTAAGGACTCACTTGTGCATCCTGCCTTTTCCACTTCCATGAGTCAGCCTATATAAGCCTTCAACCCAACAGAGGAAATGTTCCATCTCTTCCTGGCAATATCTGCACTAGCTTGTTCCTTCCGTTCTGAGTACCCTAATCCTCCGGAGTCTGCACTGCCCAGTCAGAAGTCCTACTATCATTCAAGTCCTGACAAGTCCTAGGTATATCCTATGTACTGCCGTTAGTTTCTGCTATGTTCCATGATAAACTTTTTCGCCTCCTTCTGTCCTAAGCATTCCCATTGGATAGAGGACTTATTTTAAACCCATTGTCTGATGTTCTTGGCAATTTGGTGCAAAAGTGTTCAGGGCTGATAGATGTCCTCATCGAACTTTCTTAAAGCCAGCTTCTTTGTTGCTCAGACAAGGGTAATTTTGTTGTTTTCCCTAATGTCTAACAGAGCCCTAATGCAATCCCAAATGACTTCACTACCGATGCAGTAATTGCCCTCAGGCCACCTGGCTTTCTAAGTAGATAATTATTCTCCTGTTAACAATACGTTTTAATCTCCTTGGCACAATGTTCAATAGCCAGTCTCTGCTTGAACTACAGTCGCATATTCCTCGGTTTATTTTCATAAATACCAGGCAGAGCCGAACCAGAAGTAAAGAGAAGCCATCTAAAAATTCTGGAGAGAATTAAAATAAATGATATGGCTACAACAAAAAGAGGAAATTGAACTTTGACAAACCTTTCCATGTGGACATAGCAGAGATTTGGAAGAAAGGCATCCCCAAGTTTTGGTAATGGGCCCTATTTGGTTCATGGAAGGGTAAAAGGGTCAAATTATACTCTTATAAAACTTTTGGACTAATCCCAACCATTTTCCAAGCTGTGGGTCGTTCAATCCAACTCTGGGCAACAGTCAGACACTGTGTAAATTATGTGTTATAAAGGTACAAAATTTGTATGTTTTCAGCTCCAAACTAGTCTTGAAGTGTAAATTTCCTAATCCTTCTAGGACTTTAAATTGGTTATAAAATATTCTGGGATGTGAAGGTATTATAAAAGGAAATAAATAAGGTATAAAAGGCTGAACTAGCCGAAAAAGAGCAGCCGTCTCACCTATGGGAACGTAACCATAACCATAAAGCACTGGATTGTATGCTAAAGTTGAAAGTGGATAAACGGCTTGAAAAAAGAAAAACGCTAGCACCTAGTATAAGAGACAAATTCTATACCGACCACTACCACCTAAAAAAAGAGCAAAGCAAAGACAGAAACTCTGTCGAGTGAAACCAGAGAAATCGGCATATATCCTTTGTGAATGTAACAGCACTAACCTGTATACGGTATGGCAACTTCGGTGAGGCAATTCTCAGACCAAGAGAAGTGTGTGAAGTGGCACTGAGAACAATGCTCAGTGTCGGAAAAATGCACTTTCCACAGTTTTTTAGTAACCTTATAGGTTGCACAATTGACTTATACAGGTAGCAGTGGATGTTGGAATCCTTCAGGGTCCAATGAGGTCTTTGTTTTATTGTTATATAAATAATAGAAATTATTTTATGTTATTCTTAAAACATACTAGTGCAAAAAGGATGATTGGAGTTGACCAAGCTATAAATCGTTGCAAGTGCACCACTTTCTTTTAGAACAGTGTTCTTTTTTTTTTTCTTTCTTTCTTTCTTTTTACAAGTATACACATCCGACATGAAATTATATTGAAGCGTAATTTATTTTGAAATGAATAATTGCATGTCATAAAGGATGAACGTAAAGCAACGCGCTACACACTTTAGTGGATTGAGATGACTGCCAAAAATAGCAAGAGGAATCCTCTGCATGTAAAAATTTTTAATTTAGACTTTAATATTTATTATAAAGACAGGAGAAAAAAAATTAGTAGATGAGCTGTCTTAACAAATTAGGTCTAGGTCGTTAGACTGTAGTTTTTCTTAAAGATTTAGTGAATTGTTTAAAAAAAAGAAGTTCCAACTCCGGTTGTTTTGTGTCAACAACTTTAAAAATGATTTTCTTTACAGAATGTTCACATGAAATTAGAATTAGCGTTGGACGAGGACAGCATCTTTTACAAGCTCGGCAGCTCCGGTTTGATAACGTTTTCCGACTATATTTTCCTCCTTACTGTCTTGTCAAGTAGGCGATTTTTTTGTTATGTAATAATATTAATTATTTTTATTTTTGATGTTGTTTTGTGTTAAAAGCATCAAGAAGGCACTTCGAAATCGCGTTCCGTATGTTCGACTTGAATGGCGACGGCGACGTCGATTGCGAGGAGTTTGAGAAAGTAGCGACGCTGATCAGACAGCAGACCAGCATCGGCAACAGGCACAGGGATCATGCAAACACTGGAAATACGTTCAAGGTTGTTAATTTAAAACTATTGATTTAATCGTCAAAAATTTCCCGTTTAAATTTTTTTAGGGTGTGAATTCTGCGTTGACTACTTATTTCTTTGGGCCTAAACTCGACCAGAAGCTAACGATCGAGAAGTTTCTCGAGTTCCAGAGTCAGCTTCAGACTGAAATCTTGAGTCTTGAGGTATTTTCTGAATCCAAGTATATTAAAATTTAAAAAAAATTAAATAAATAAATAAGAAAGTTAACACCCACATAAAAACATAGTTTACGAGAAAAAACCCAGATGAAAATGGCAACATTTCTGAAGCTGATTTCACAGAGCTTCTGCTCGCTTACGCAGGCTATCCACCAAAAAAGAAATCGAAGATGCTGAAAAGAGTTAAAAAACTGTGAGTATGGGGACAAACCTTTTTTTATTCATTTATGCTGGGTCCACCCAATACACAATATAAATTTATTCTTGGTGGCTCATAATAATTTTAATTCAGAAAAAATTATTTTGAATAAGTATGATGTTACTTTCAGTTTTTGTTCCATTTATAAAAAGGCAGTTTGAAAATTACCAGATATAAATTTCACCTTTTCTAAATTGTTAATTCATATTTGTTAGTTTTAAAGATAACAGCCAAGGTGTGAGCAAAGAGGATTACTTGAAATTCTTTCACTTTCTTAACAATATTAATGATGTGGACACTGCGCTCACTTTTTACCACATTGCTGGTGCTTCCATCGATAGAGGTCTGTTTGTTTTAAGTACATTTCTGTATGAATTTCTCCATATTTTATTGTTTTTTCGCTCCAGCTACTTTAAAACATGTCGCCAGAACCGTGGCTCATGTGGATTTGAGCGATCACGTCATAGCTGTTGTTTTCACAATATTTGACGATAACCGTAAGACTTTTTTTCTATATATATATTTTTTTTAAATTTCTTTATCTGTAACAAGCTCAGAATGGTTTGTTTTCCAGTTGATGACCAGCTCAGCAACCGAGAGTTCATTGCTGTCATGAAAAACAGGCTTCTTCGCGGACTCGAGAAGCCAAAAGACACGGGCTTCGTCAAACTGATTCAGTCCGTTATTAAATGTGCAAAAGAAAACCGGCCCTCTTTGCGTGATGTATAACACGCTTTTATTAAACGCAGTCATCAATCTTTGAGCTTTTTTTTAATCCAACTTAAGTTTTCAGTGCTTGGAATTTTCATATTAATTAATAGTAAATACTATGATTAGTAAATATTACCACATTGATCTGAGCATATTCATAGTTACCTTTCCCCTATTGTGTTAAATAAAGCTTTAAATAAAGCATCAAAAAATAACCACAAAATGCTTTAAATAAACTAATATTCAATTTTACGCACAATAAATTATATCAAACAAATGGAAATAAAATGTATAATTGAATATTATAAATTTTAAATTATTATAAATCTTAACCGGTTTATCCTCTTTTTGTTGTTTTGTACTTAATAATGTATTTTAAATTTTTAAGTAAGTACCTGTAGGTAAAGTTTAAGTGCCACATATTTATTGTTTAAATTATAATGTTGTTAAATTTATATAGTTTGAAAAAATTCTTTATTAAAATGTATTAAGAAAAATTAATAAATCTCCAATTTAAGTAGTTATTTATATTTTATTGAACTTTTCTCACCCTATCTCTGTCTTTCCCTCTTACATAGCTAAAACCCCTATTATATCCCTCCTACCCTTTACACTTCCCCCCCNATATAACAAGACGGTTTTTGTTTTTTAGTATATAGATTCATTTTCATCTTCACTTCAAAAAAAAGTGCAATAAATTGAATTTTCCTAACAACTGGGTTAAGTACGTATTTGTATTTTTGTAATGTATTTATGTAAGATGTGTTATGTAACTCTGTTCATGTAAATTCTGTTTTTTAATAAATTAGGCCCTGATGATGGCGGAACATTCGTCGAAAGCTTGGTGAAACCCAATAGTGATGTTCTTTATTCACCTGCAATGACCTCAAGAAGTTCCAATACATCATCAGTTTAAACTACGTAGGTCGATCAACGTCAACTAGAAAAAATATATAGTTAAATGTATGCAAACCTATATATTTATCCTCTCTCCCTCTCACTCACTCACTCTCTCTCTCTCTCTCTCTCTCTCTCTCTCTCTCTCTCTCTCTTTTTTAATTTAAGTTAAACACAAAGAAAAAAAATTAACTTGATTTTTATCAATCTAGAACTTAGGATTGTAACGAAATAAATACATATTATTTTTTTTTTTGAAATTTAAAAGGGTTCATTTGAAAAGGAAAATGGGTATCTTGTTGCAACAAAGAGTTAATTAGATACTAAAATTTGAAGATAGAAAAGGTTACATAATTAGAAATTAAAAAGGCTTAATTTAAATGTAAAAAAAGCTAATTTAAAATTGAAAAGAGTTAATCTGATGGGAAAAATGGGCAATTTGAAATTAAAAAAGGGCTAATTTTAATTAAAATGACGTTATGTAATGGTGAAGAACTACATAATACATATAAATCTATTAGATAAACATGAAGAAAAAAATAGCTTGTTTTTATCAATCTAGGACTTAAAATTGTAATGATGTAATGAAAGAAATATATTTTAAAAAATTCCATTTGAAATTTAAAATGGTTAATTTGTAGGTAAAAATGTTCAATTGAAAAGGAAAATAGGTACATTGATGCAAAAAACAGTTAATTTAAAATTTTAAAAAGTTAATAGCAATTAAAAATGGTTAATTTTATATTAAAATGTGTCAATTTGAAGCTAGAAAACGCTACATAATTAAAAATTAAACAAATTGTAACAAGATAATTTTAATCAAAGAAAGTTAATTTGATGTGAAAATGGTTACTGGGGCTGAAAAGAACTACATATCTACTGGATAAATATAAAACAAATAAAAAACAAAAATAAACAATAAAACCACAGAAAATTAACCTGATTTTATCAATGTAGGATGGAGGGTCATAAAGAAAGAACTGCATAACAAATATATTTGAAAAAATTAAATTTTCAATGTGCAGTTACTACTTCTTCTGACTGTCCTTCATCAGTCTATCAGAGTTTCAACTCTTTCCTACGTTTATTATACAATATGTTAACAACAAATAATTAAATTGTTTATTAATATTAATTACACTTATAATATTAGAAGAGATAGTTTATAACTCAAGAGGCCCCTTCAACCCAAGAGTTTGGGACTAAGTAAACTGTTTGTAGACGTATGGTTGTTTTTATAAAAACTAACTATAATACAGTTTATTTAGAAATATTTATTCTTTTTTATAAATACATATATAAATAATCAAAATACTTTAAAATACATTATTTTTTTATTGGTTCTCTTGATGAGTACAAGTGTAGTTAAAAGGATCGTTTTTAGAAATAAATATATATCTATTTAATTTATTTAAGTTTGTTATGTTTGTAGATATTAATTTGTTGTTGTTTTTGTTTTATAAGTGTTATTTTTTATTTGTTGTTGCGTTAAAAAAAGTAAGAAAAAGAAAATAAGAGATAAAGATTATCGGTACGGTTTGTACATGCTGGGGTTTTTGACCTTCGTATCTTTCTCGTTCCTTGTTTTCTTTTTTCTCACGGGAGAAAATTTAACAATTATTGCCCCCCCTCGCAAGAAAATAAATAAATGATTTATTTTTGGAATTGTGAAAGGCTGGAGGCTGTTCGTAAGGGAAATTTGACGGGCCGCGTGGCCAGCCTGGAGCCGGACCCGTACGAACCTCAACCCAGGGAAAAGGATTGTAGAGATCGCCGTACACGGTTGTTCTATCTTAGGAAAACAAATCAACCCGTGGAAAAATCATCAAAAGCTCAGAGGCGTTGGATTTAGACCGGAGAAACGCCGGCCTTTTAAGCTTTTCCTCAAGCTTTTTACCGACCCGTTCCACCGGGGCAAGAACCCTCTCAGATGAAGGGTACAAACTAGGTTCATCACTTGGCCTTTTTTTACCCGACTGACTTTTTCAACTTAAGCTTCCACTTAGGTGAGTGACTTTTTTTATCCGTTTTATTTAAAATTTATATTTTGTTTTATATAAAAAAAGGATTTTTTTATAAAATCGATTAAGGACGGCGGATGGGATGTCACAGGCCGTCTCTGGAAACCGGCGCGGTTTCCAGCGGATAAGCAGGCGCTTTAAAAAATGGACAGTACTTTTCAGGCGGGAGATAAAAAAAATCGCCTTACAGCACACTTTAAATATCAGGGAAAAAATCCTAATTACACACGGACAAATAAATAATTAAAAATTGAACAGAGAAGAAAAAAAAATTCAACTTAATCTCAAGCCTGATTTAAATAAAAATCAATTTTGATAAGCAATACGAAAAAATAGACAGATTATTTAAAGGATGTTTTAAAATAGGGTTTGAGGTCGTGCGAGCGCTAGAATCGCCGGTTTGGATTTGGAAAAGGCCCCAAATATCGAAAGCTTCCTTTATATTCCGCCAGCTTAATCATAATATGGGGATTTAAAAAAAGCCCTTTTTGTAAGTCTTTCCAGGCCATCGAAGAAATACGCAAACTCGAGGGAATTTCGTTCAAGATCTCTGAGACGAAAACCCAGAGATCGATATCAGAGGTGCACTCGGACGCACCTGTTTGTGCCAATTTTCGTGCAGTGTCACTATTTCATATCGAACACTGTGTAGTACAAGACGGGAGGGAAGTAGTTCCATTAGGAGAAATATGCAGAAAAAAACTCAATTTCTAATTAGTCATGATTAGAATGATGGCCCAGTTCAGTTGAAAGTATGATTTAAATGCGCTTCTCCGAAAACACCCAAATTTAGAATTAATTGAACCAACGCCTTCATGATTTTCACCCACTAATCGTTCAATTGTACAAAAGAACACGAGCTTAGCATACATTGTACGCCATTAGCTTTGGCGAAATGATAACGACATCTAATTAGGCATAAATTGCGAAATAAACCAGTTCAAGACAATGCCTTTGCCTTTTATTCCAGTTTTCATGCATGTTTCCTACTTAAAAAAACAAAAGTCAAACTTTTTCGAGGGCATTTGAATACGCAGTCATATGAACCCTCGGGGGGCCGTTGTTTATGAAAAAAGCCCATATGTCAGGTTCGTATCTGGCCCCTGGATTCGAACCTGCGACTTTTACCTTACAGTGATGAGCGCCGTGTCAACGCCTAAACCGTTGCGGCACCCCAATAAACTTTAATTACATTGTACTCCTGGAAGGCCAGATATTTTAAGCATAAATATACTTAAAAAAACGAAAAACTATCTTTAGTTTGAAAGGTCAGATGGATAGTTGGTCTTTACAAGATGGTAAAGACAATAAAGTTCTCCTCCCCCCTAGAGTGGTAGAATCGAACAAACATTTCCCCACTTGGCTTTACCACACATTCTTGAAAAATGTGTATCAAAATTAATTAAAATTGCGGATATTGTTTAAACCATTAGAATTTAACTCTTTATAAAATAATAATATTCTAATTCCTAATATTGGGCGAAATAGTTACTCACAGTTCTAGCATGTCGGCTACGAAAAATAGAAACACTTCATCTTAATCACCGAGAAATAAAAAATAAAAACAAATTTAGCATTCATTGAACCAAGGCCTGCATTATTATCACCATCTAAGCAGAATTCAATTGTACAAAAGAACCCGAGCTTAGCAAATTTTGCATAAACTGTATTTCATCAGTTTTGCCGAAATTTGCTTGATCATAAGTTGCGAAATATCCCGTTTAAGAAAATTTTCATTGCCTTTTTGCTCGACTCTTAAAATGGCAATCGAAAACACGTTTTGCCCTTGGAAGGCCAGTTGTTTTGAGCTAAATAAATATGCTTTTTAAAATAGCAAAACTGTCTTGAATTTGAACTGGTCAGCAATAGAAAAGTTAGAAGATGGATTTGGTTTAGAATTTCAACATAAATAAAGTCCCCCCCCCTAGAGTGGTATGAATCGAACAAACATTTCCTCCCTTCGCGTTACGATTATTCTTGAAAAATTTGAATAAAAATTACTTAATATTGTGGAAATTGTTTAAACCATTAAAATTTACCTCTTTACGTTCTATTCTAATGTAAAGATTAATTAAACTAAAATAATATAATTTATAATATTGGGTAAAATAATTTCCCACAAATCTAGCTTATTGGCTAGGGAAAAAATAAAACCAATTAAACATAATCATCACCTCGAAACAAAAAACCCAACTTTAGCATTAATTGAACCAACGTATTTATGATTTTCCCCCACTAATCATAATTAAATTGTACAAAAGAACCCGAATTTAGGAAATTTAGCATAAACTGTAGGTTATCAATTTTGACGAAATTATAACATAACTTTGTCATAAGTTGCGAAATATTCCATTTAAGAAAATTTTCATTGCCTTTTTGCTCGTCTCATCGCTTAAAATGGCAAAAAATCAAATACTACTTTAAACACGTTTTACTCCTCGAAGGCCACTTGTTTTAAGCATAAATGCTTTAACAAGGTAAAAATTATCCTTAGGTTGAAATCGTCAGCAACAAAAATCTTAGAATGTTTTTAGTATAAATTGTGTCAATTTGGGCGAAATGAAAATAAATCTAAAATTGGTGCAAGACAGTGCTCATTGCCTGTTTTTCCAGTTTTCATTTACGACTCGTTACATAAAAAGCAAAAAACATCAAAAACCACTTTAAACGTTTTACCCTTAGAAGGACAGTTGTTTTAAGCATTCATATCCATTAAAAAGCAAAATATCTACCTTAAGTTCGAACTAGTCAGCAAGAGTAAAGTTAAAAGATTGATTTGATTTGGATTTCAACAAATATAAACGACTCCCCCTCTCAAGAATAGCTCGAACAACTTATTTTCGAAATATGTGAATAAACATTATTATAAAAAAATACATATATTTTGAACGGTTCAAATTTACCTGCTTATTCTTTATTCTATTAGAAAGTTTAATCACACTAAAATAAAAACAATCTATTATTGGATATAATTTCTAATATTGGGTGAAATAGTTTCCAAAAAACCTACCTTGTTGGCTAGGAAAAAAATAAAAACATTAAAAAAAATCGTAATAAAATGCGAGAATATACGATTGGTTAATTGTATCTTTTGAATCTTCATTGGGTCAAGATGGAACATGTTGCTTGAAAATGTTTTTACATGTTTTCTTGCACGTCTTCCCACATAAAAAGAAATCAAACATTTCTTAAACACGTTTTACCCCTGTAAGGTCAGTTGTTATAGACATAAATTTTCTTTAAAATATTTAAAAAAAATCTTTTGATTGAAATGGTCAGCAAATTTTAAAGAAGTCTCAAAGAAAAGTATATTTTCTCTTCTGACTTTTATGATAACCAGTTCCTTATTGAAATTAGTACAATTTCCCGATATTTAGCTTTTATTAAAATTGACCAATGGATTTGTGGATCTTTTGTGGCCTATATTTATTTTTCTAAGTGAAAAGATCCCAATAAGGTAGGGCATTTCGAGAAAAGGGAAAGAATTTCCCTCTGGAAAATTGTAGTGTAAATTATCTTAAGAAGATGATTTTAAATAAATTTGAAAACTCACATTCATCTGTTCTTTACGAAAATATTGCCAAGTATTATTTCTATAAGAAAAAATAAGTTTTGTAGGTACTTTCCTATTTTATTTACTTAAATTCTGTCCTGTAATCATTTTTATAATAGCCAAACATTTTTAAAAATTAATTTAGGCAATAAACGTACAAAAATACACAGGGAAATGTTTTGAAATAATTTAATTAAAACTTGCAAATCTAAGAAAAAGAAAGACTTTTTTGTAGTTTGGTATAAAATAGATTAGCATCAGTCGATAAGAAAAAAATCAGTCCTTTGTTCTTTATGAAAATAGTCTCCCATTCTTTATAGGATTAAATAAGTGAGGAAAATATTGCAAGAACTGAAAAATGAAGAATCGTTTTTTTCCTTTAATCTAGATTATTTAACCTTTTTTTATTAGATACTAAATCTAATGATATATTTGATATCTGGCCTGTATTTTTTTTTTTTACAAAAGTCGTCAATTTTTTACGACTGATCAAACATACAGTCGCAATAAATTCAGATTTCAGATCTCCCTGATTCCTCAGTCGTGAATCTTTTAATTTTTAATATTGGATGAAATAATGTTCAACTTGTTTCTTTGAAAAGTTAGTTTGTTTCGTTCACAAAACACGAAATAACAATTACAAGAAATTTAACGATTTGCATGTTATTGGGTTGTCCGGAAAATAATGCAGGATTTTAAGTTTTCATTAAAAAAAATCTATATAAAATATTCTGTTTACGTTTACAGGATTACTCATTTGTATGNCTCAACACGACACGCAAGGATGGCACAATTACACAGAAGACAAACACTTTGAGCCCTGAAGATGATCTCAATAAAAGATCGAAACGTTGGCTCGATAAAGAAAATGTTTTTCTGAAACCTACATCACACCCGACCGCATCTCACGATATCTGAATAACTATCGATTAACGGTCACTAATCTCTACACATTTCTTCTGATGGTTTGACTCTTCAATTCCAATTTTTCATTAATTATTGCAGCTTGAAATCAAGATACAAAGTTAACTTTTTTTAATGTAACAGAGCAGTCTATGTTTAGGCGATTCCTTGGAATTCCCACTGGACAGATCGTCATGTTGTTTGCAAATTATATTTGTATTTTTGTAGGATTGCCAACGGCGGACCTTGACTTTCCTCCTTTGTAATTAATTGGTTTGTTTTGCCGCGAAAAAAAGTGCAAGTCATTTGCTCTTTTTATAGGAAATAAATTTCACAATGCGTACAATAATTCATTCAAAAGGGCGAAGAGTTAGCCTAGAAAAAGTAAATAAATAAATTATGTGTTTTATCCATGTTGTTTACGAAATGATGAACTTGTAGTCTGGTCGATAACGATTTACATCCTGGAAAATGAATAGATAACGACAACCAACTGGAAAGCTACTCTCGTCCGTAACGACTGGATATA